AACACTTACCAGTGGTTCCCAACTATTGAAGGCTTTTGGCTTCAACATTGCCGCCAGCCTTGCAATACTGAGGAATAGCAAGATGCTTCAAATTAGATTACTTAAAAATTAGGTTTAGCTAGAGATGGAAATATAATATATACAAATTCAAATTCAGTACAATACTTAAAACTAGGATGCGTGCAATAAATATTAAATTGTTGAACTCTCTTGTGTTGGTTTTTTTTTTTTTTTACATTTATTCAAATAATTCAGTTCCAATTAAATTCAAACTTTAAAAATACTATATAATTTACCCAGTAAGGGGTCGCTGTGCCTTAAAGGGCACATGGGCCAGAAAGGACCCAACCGAAAATAGAGTTCTGGGCGGTAGGAAACCCAGGATAAGCAATAAGTTCGCCTCTTATGATTTTATGATATACATCCCCACCGAAAATCAAGGCGACGGCAGAGGAAGTGTGGAAACCAGGATCCGCGAGCTTGAGGTTAATGAATTTGTGTCCGCGTCGCTTGGCTGAGATGACGAGCGGGAGTTTTCAACCCGATCTCCGACAGTACCCTCGCCGGCAAGGAGAATCGCACATGTGCATCATTTGACGAGCTTACGTGGAGCTCGCACATGCTGATATTCGCCAGGGGCACCGTCTTTAGGCGGAGCCGGTGCACCAGCGCGTGGCAAATTTTGCTCGTTTGCGAGCAAGGGTCTATCAGAGCCCGAGCTAAAAATTTCCGAGGCCCAATGTGTAGGTAAACCGCAACGGTGGGTAGAACGGTGACTGTTCCCGAAAGCTGCGTTAAAAGTAGGGGAAGTTGGCGTCGGGGAGAAAGACGGTGGTTTGCATGCAACAGGGTGTGATGCTTTTCCTCACAATATTGGCACGTCCCGTTGCTCAGACAGTTCTTGGCCGTGTGGGAGTGGGCTAAACATCGCGAGCAATATCGATGGAGAAGCACAAGGCGCAGCCGGCGCTCGTAGTTGGCATCTAAGAATCGCCTACAATACCGGAGAGGATGCGACCGGTGGCAAACTCTACATTTGGACCCGCCTTCCCTGGCTGCGCGCTGGGCGGAGGCATCTGTCGGTGGCGGTGGAGGCGAGGCGCGTGGCGATGATGGTGTCGATCGGTCTACGGGAACTAGTTCCATGGTCTTGATGCTAAAGCGGCAAAAAAAAGGAAAGTATTGATATGAGGGGTTAGTTTGGTAAGACCACTAACTTCACGATAGGTCACGTTATCAATCCCTTTTGTGTGCGAATGTCTGCAACACGAATTCTTTTATCGGAGCCTTTATAAATCTTTGTGACCCTGCCCAAGCGCCACTCGTTAGGAGGGAGATTTTCATGGCGAACTACAACTAGGTCATCGACGGAGATGTCTTTTTGAGGGGATTTCCATTTGTAGCGTTTATGGAGTTCTTTGAGATATTCCTCTTTCCATCGCAGAGAGTGTTGCTGGCTAAGAGCCTTTATTTTTTGCCACCGATTAATTATCGAGACTGGGTTTGCTTCTATGGAGGGTTCGGGGGGAGAAAGTATGGGACCCCCCGTGAGAAAGTGACCAGGTGTGAGGGCTGCACAATCTGCGGCGTCGGTGGAATTGGGCGATATCGGCCTAGAATTTAGACAGGATTCAATGCGACAAAGTAGGGTTTGAAACTCTTCAAAGGTGAATTTTTGAGAAGCGGCGGTACGTCGAAAATGAAATTTGATGCTTTTAACTCCAGCTTCCCATAGTCCTCCCATGTGAGGAGCGCCGGCAGGGATAAAGTTCCAAGACACCTCCTGATGACTGTACATATTGCACAAAGACTCCCGCGACGTGGTTAGGAATTTCTTGAATTCCTTTTTCAAGTTAGCTGCCGCACCTACAAAATTGGTCCCATTGTCCGAAAAGATTTGCTGAGGGCAGCTTCGTCTAGATATGAATCGCGAGAATGCGCCAAGAAAGGTCTCTGTGGACAGATCGCTTGTACCTTCCAGGTGAATTGCCCGTGTGGAAAAACATACAAATATGCAAACATAACCTTTGGTGATTTTACATGCTCTACCAGTGAAACTCTTAATATCAAATGGGCCGGCAAAATCGACTCCAGTATTTTGAAAAGGCCTGGAAAGGGTCGTTCGCTCTTCAGGAAGGGCAGCCATGATTTGGGATTGATTCCGCTTTTTATGAATGACGCAAGTTCTGCAGTTATGAATGACAGTCATTATGAGATTTTTTGCCTTTGGAATCCAATACTGTTGGCGAAGCAGCCGCAGCATCAATTGATTTCCTCCATGAAGAGAAATGTTATGGATCAAGTGAACTAACAACCTTGAGAACGAACAACTATAAGGTAGAAGAATGGGATGTTTTTCATTATAAGATAAAATAAGCGAATTTGCGAGTCGACCATTGACTCTCATTATACCCTGACAGTCTAAGAAGGGATTCAAGGTTAAAAGTTTGCTTTTCGGCGAAATTGGAGTTTTTGAAGTCAGACATCTCTGTTCTTCCAAAAAATGCTTCATCTGTGCCAGAATTATAAGCCGAATACGAATTTTCGAGATTTCCTCTCCCGAAACCGCTAGCGATGGATACGAGTGGAATCTTCGAGTGTGCCGGTTAGTCCTGTTGTAAAACCGGAAGATGTAAGCTAAAACACGCAGGGCGCGCGGAAGAGATGAAAATCTTTCTAAGGGATCCTCATGGCTTGACACAAGCGAAGCGTGCGCCTTTATTTTCCTTGCTTCGATCGTGATATCGTCCAGTTCGTCATCCATTGATGGCCATTGCCCTGCATCTTTACCTAACCAGGAAGGGCCGTACCACCACAACTCGCTTGCACATAAGTCCTGAGGGTATGCTCCTCTGCTGCCAAGATCTGCTGGATTATCCTTCGAGTCCACGTGATTCCAATGCCTAAATCCGACTAATTCCTGTATCTTTGCTACTCGATTTGCGACAAAGGTGGTCCAGGAGCAGGGCCGCTTTTTGAGCCAAGAGAGAACGATGGTTGAGTCTGTCCAGCAAAATATGTTTTCCACCTTGAAAGGAAGTTCACTTAGAAGAGACCTAAGCATATCGACAACTAGAACCGCCCCACACAACTCCAAACGAGGAAGCAAAATAGTTTTTATGGGTGCAACTTTAGGTTTTGCTAATAAAAGGTGCGACGACACTGTACCGTGGTTTTCTACCCGCAAATATATCACCCCCGCGTATGCCTTTTCCGACGCGTCGCAAAAGGCATGGACTTCGAATGGTGACTCAATGGTGAAATTCACCCAACGCGGAATTTTTATGTCATCGATATACCTATAACTTTCTACAAAGGTTTTCCATTTAAAAAGTGTTTGAGAACTTATAGGCTGATCCCAGAGAGTACCATCTGACCAAATTTGTTGCATCACTATTTTAGCTACGACCACCACCGGAGCTAGCCAACCAGCTGGGTCAAAAAGTTTCGCTATCGTTGACAACACTTCTCGTTTAGTGTAGCTATCCTTTGAAGGGAGGGTCTGAACGCTGAAGAAAAAATGGTCTAATCTAGCATTCCATCTAATCCCTAGTGCTTTTGTTGTGCTTGTCTCATCTAAAGTTAAAAATTCTCTCTTTAATAAATGCTCATGAGGAAGATCCATGAGGATTTCCTTGGAATTTGAAGACCATCTCCTCAAAGAAAATCCTGCACTATCAAGTGCTTCTATCAGCTGGTCTCGTGCCTGTAAAGCTGTGGACACATCGTGAAATCCCGCTAAAACGTCATCTACATACATAGAATTTCGTAAAATCTGAGCCGCTAGTGGATGTGAATCATGAGAATCCTGAGCTTACTGCCGAAGAGTCCTAATTGCCAAGTATGGCGCACAATTAACTCCAAACGTTACCGTCCTTAACTGAAAATCTTGTATACCACTATGTGGATCCTTTCTAAAAAGAATCCTTTGATAGGGCCTATGAGACGGGTTAACTAAAATTTGCCTGTACATTTTTTGGATGTCACTATTAAACACGTATTTATACATCCGCCATCGTATCAGTAGCAAGGTCAAATCAGCTTGAAGGGTTGGGCCTACATGTAAAATATCGTTAAGACAAACTCCATTCGAAGAATTGCTGGACGCGTTGAAAACTACCCTTAATTTCGTGGAAGTACTTTCCGGTTTCAAGACTGCATGATGAGGAAGGTAGAAATGACTAGGAGAATGTTCAAAACTTGGAGCCTCTACTTTCTCCATGTGCCCTAGATCCAAATATTCTTGAACAACCTTGTCATACTCTTCCTTTAAAGATGGATTTTTCGTTAACCTTGCTTCGTTACGAATAAATTGCCGAAATGCAATGGGACGCGATGATCCTAGCTTAACATCCGTTGGATAAAAGTTTTTAAACGGTAGCGAAACCACGTATCTTCCTTCCGAATTCCTAGTAGTTGTTTTCAAGTACAGCTCTTCACAAAACATATCCTCGTCTGATTGAAGGTTATTTTTTGGGACTTCCTCTAACTAAAGGTGGGTAACTCAGCACTGTGCTGAGTTACTGTGCTGACTCTTAGAAATGTGCCGCACGCTCAGACTCACCTCTGAAAAAATTTGTAACTCAGTAACTCAGTTTATGTGCTGACAATGTATAGCTCAGTGTGCTTCAGTGTCGATATGGTAACTCAGTTGATGTGCTGACACTTGCATAGCTCGGTTCGGCTGCATTGTTTACAACTGGGTCGATGTGGTAACTCAATTGATGAGCTGACACATTCACACAATACGATCTTCCAAAAAGTACCATAATAGATGGCGTCACGAGACTTACCATCAGTTGAATATACGACTACCAAATTTAACAAGAAGCAAGGCGAAAAGCCCAGTTATGCATACTTGCACTGCTATACCCTTTTTACGTAAAAGTCAAAACCAAACAGAATTCTACATGTGAAGTGCTATGCGTTGGGTAACCGCTTACATGCATAGCCCATTTAACAGATTCTTATGTGACAACTCTCAAGCAAAACTAAGTAGGGAATTTATTCGCAAATGAACTCACCAGTTGAAATCAGCTTTCTAAAATTTTGCCGGCCAGCTACGAATAGAAGCTAAGGATAACCTTTTCTAAATCGATTTCGATTACTAACATCGTCAATAATTTCGATGCACATACCAATTGTGCGATAGCACACTTGTGCCAGCTCTCTGTGCTGACTCATTAAAGTGAGTTGGAGTTACTGAGTCAGCACACCAAAATTTACAGAGTTACCCACCCTTACCTCTAACTCCCAGAACTTGCGTAGTTGGCTATCTAACGAAACGTCCTCTCCCATTGAGACTTTTGTAGCAAAGCAAGAGACGTGTGCAGTGGAAGATGCCCCAGTGACAATCCACCCGAACACCGTCTCTTGAGACAGAAGGTTGTATTGAATACTACGTTTTACCCCGTCCAACATAACCTTGGGGTACAAATCTCCTCCGATCAAAACATCGATAGGACCGCTTTGCAAAAACTTCGAATCTGCTAAAGGTACTTTAGGCAGTTTTTCTAGAATGGATTCATCTATTGAGGTCGAGGGTAAGTTACCAGTGATTTGTGGTAATACAAACGCAGTAGCTTCTATTAAAAGATTTGGATCACGGGGTGAGCCTAAAACAAACGAACAAATTTTCGATGCGCTGTTAGAAACCCTTTGATTCAATCCCGAAATAACCGCATTTGTCTCGGAATACGGTAGTTTTAAAAGTTTTCGAAGTCGTTCAGAAATAAACGAGGCTTCTGAAGCTGAATCAATTAAAGCGCGAGCTATATAAGTTGAGCCCAAGTGGCAGATGTGAACCATGGCGGTTCCAAGTAGAGCTGAGGATAAGCCTGACGATTTCAAATTTTCCTCAGCTGTCGACAACATACTGTTAGAAGAAGCGGACTGTATATTTGTATGGAATGCCTGTCAAGCAGTTCCACCTGCAGTTTCTTTTGGGGGTTGAGTGTTAGAAGACAATCTGTGAAGCAGAGTATGATGTCTACTTTTGCACTTAGTGCACGAGAAATGACTTTTACAGTCTTTTATCGAATGGCCTTTTGAAAGACAGTTTAGACAGCAGTTGTGTTTTTTAATTGCAGTGAACCTATCATTAATCGAAAGTGACAAGAATTTTGTACATAAACGCAAAGGATGTTGTTGTTTCTGACACATTATGCAGTAAGACTGAGAAATATTTGTCGCCAGAGACACCTTCTTTTGACCCGCCGGGTTGGGTTGATGTGAGAATGCTTTTTTATGTTGGTTGGTTGAAGAAGATGAAGCTGACCATTTCACATCCACTATCGATTCCAAAGTTCTGAAGCGTTGAGTGAGAAATGCATCCATCTGACTCCATTCCGGTATAGCAGCTTTATCTAGTAGTGTTTGTTCCCACAGAGAAAGTGTTGTTTCAGGGAGTCGGTTTGAACACAGGAAGATTAGGATCGGATCCCAATTCCCAACGTTGACGTTATACGTTGCTAACGCTGATAGACATCCGTTTATGCCTCGCTGGAGCTCCTTTAACGCGGGTGTACTTTCGGTCCGAATAACCGGAAGCGAAAAAAGCAGCTTCAATTGCTTGTTGACCAAAACCCGTTTATTTTCGTACGCTGCCTTCAAATTTGACCATGCGATGTCGAATCCCTCATTTGATAGTGGGGGTTTGCTAACGATGTCTCGTGCTTCGCCGCTTGTTTTATGTCGAAGGTGGAAGAGTTTTTCGATGTTACTCAGATCCGCATTATTAATGTAAATCGCGGTGAAGAGATCACGGAAGGATGGCCACGACACATAGTCACCATGGAATATTTCTGTGCACATGGCGGTAGGTTCAAATTATTGGAGCGCTTGGGTACTTGGGCAGGGGGCACATAAGAAGCAGTATCAGCCGTCACGCTGTACTTCTGAATGCCTTCGCTAATGCGCGACAAACACGAAAGATAATCTTTAAAAGTTGAATTTTGTTTGGCTTTTACGGCTTCTACCTCATCTTCATCTTTCAGAGTTTGTAAGCATTTTTCGCATGCATTTTTAGTTTTAGACCAAATGTCTATCAACTCCGTTTTCAAAATCTCTAAAGAAATTTTCGAATGCTCGTTCAAAGTCGCTTCATCGAATCCCGCATTGAATTCGACAATCTGATCTGAGCACCTAGTGAAATAACTTAAGGTAGACATACTTGTCAAAGAACGAGAGTCGATTTATGTACAAATAACGAAAGAACTAAATTATTGAAAAACACGAAAGGAATGATAAGCGCCACCAATTAATCGAAAAACAGCAAATACTGATTGACTTTAAACTAATGATGTGAATATAGAAAGTTCCTACAGGGTCAATGCAAAAATTTCCTACTGGGT